AAGAGGGGAAGAAACACCATCAAATAATGTTTCCCTGGGACCCCTGTGCGCTGCCTGTGTTTTATACTGCGCCAAAACAACTGACAACTGGGATTGAAGGAGCTCCAGGAGGAAAACTGCCACCCCCCAGATTGAAGGAGCTCCAGGGGGAAAACTGCCGCCCCCGACTCTCAACATCAGCTAGCCGGGGAAGAGAAGCGGCAGATTTGGCACCCAACGTGAGGCAAGATAAGATCATTTTACGAGCTCCTTTTATGACTCTAAGAAGAGCCCATCGGTGAATTTTATGGCTCTGTGGACTTTTTCCGCCCTTCCTCCTCACTCAGAAGCCGAGAAAGAAAGCTTGCGGAAGACTCAAATGAGTCAGGGCTTTGCGCAGACAGCAGCAGAGAAGTAGCTGTTGGGCTCCTGCACAAAGCAAGGTGCTTGCACTGGGACAAGCACACCAGTGACCCACAGTGGCCGCGCCCTCAGCCTTGGGAACGGGTTTTGGAGCACCGGGAACACCCAAGTCACTGGAGGCAGCAAGCCGAGAAAGTCCCCAGTCTTTCAGCAATCAGAACATCAGTTTCAGCGCACCCTGATGGGAAGTGAAACTGCTGTGGTGGTCAACCAGCGTCCCTCACCCGGCAGAAGAGGGCTGGCCAGGTAGAAGCCGGTTGTCTCGTCTCCCAGAAGAACCAGCCAGAGGCCCCGCGGTAGTGGGTGAGCTGTGCCCTAGCAAGCCGAGAAAGAGAAAGTCCCCAGTTTGTCAGCGATCAGAACACCAGTTTCAACGCACCCTGATGAGAACTGAAACTGCTGTGGTGGTCAACCAGCGTCCCTCACCCGGCAGAAGAGGGCTGGCCAGGTAGAAGCCGGTTGTCTCGTCTCCCAGAAGAACCAGCCAGAGGCCCCGCGGTAGTGGGTGAGCTGTGCCCTAGCGGGGGGGTTTTTTGTCTTTTTTCTTTTTTCTATCCCCGGTGGGTGGAATTATCTCAAGGGCCCGTGGCCAGGCCCGTGAGGATCTTCATCTCTGTCAGTTTCCCTCTCTCACCTCATCAGCTGACTCTCCCCTTGTCCTTCTAAGAAGGACAGGAGTGAGAGAAAAGATTTTCACAGGGCAGCAGCACACGGAAATTCCCCTTTTCCCTTGTCCCTCAGACTTTCCGAAAAAACCTTTCCCCCACTCCTCCCTCGGAGCAGCTGGCCGCACTGCTCTGAGCGCCCGGCCATTCGCTGTCCAGGCCTTACTAGGGAACTGCAGTGAGTCAGGCCCCCCACCCAGCTCTTTGTCTAAGACGGAGGATGGCCACTCTATCTTAGACACGCTTTCCTCCCTTGTCTTCTTTTCCCGCCTGATGTTATCCGCCAACCCATCCCCCTTCCAGGGGGTCACATTCCACGAGGAATGTTAGCCCGTTTCCCACTGAGGGGGAGGGGTGGGTCTGAAGCAATGTCTATCCTTCTTCCAGTTCCACCTCTGGGGAGTTAGATCCCAATCCGACTTCTCTCCAGGGCCTCTCTCCTTAAGAGCCCCACCCCTGATGTTATCCGCCAACCCATCCCCCTTCCAGGGGGTCACATTCCACGAGGAATGTCAGCCCGTTTCCCACTGAGGGGGAGGGGTGGGTCTGAAGCAATGTTTATTCCTTCTTCCAGTTCCACCTCTGGGGGGGCAGATCCCAACCCGACTTCTCTCCAGAGCCTCTCTCCCTTAAACCCTCCCTCCCCTCAGTGGGGGGAGAGCCCTGCAGGACAGAGGGAGAACTTGGAAACCTGATCTGGTAATCGTTGTTTTGCCTTCCCCCACAAGGCAGTGATGCCCAGATCCACCCTCCTTTCTCAGCCCTAAATCACTTTGCAGCCACCAATTGTTTATAGCACTCTTTGTGGAATTCGGATTTAATTAGCATTTAATTTTTATGAAGACCTTTTAGATGATTTTAAATTTTAAAGACCTTAGTAAGAAATTTTTAAAGTATAGATTTTTGAATTTTAGTAATTATAAGAAACAATAAGTAAGCAGAAAACCAAAAGAACAATTTAGAACATGTTTTGTTATTTTTAAACAATTTTATATATTCTTAATAATTAAGGTGTTTTAAGTTTTAACTTTAAGAAGTGCTGCTCAAGTTTCCCTATCCAATTCCTAGTCAAACCTTACCCAATGTTCCTTTTAATTTTTATATTACTATAAATTGGCAAAGGCGCAAATTTTAATTCAGTTTATATTTTTACAAGATTGACAAGTTTAAAAATTAAATTATAGAATTATCCTTTAAACTCTGGGTATTGCCTTTTTGCAAAGGGCCCTGCAAAAGGCCATACTCAAAGTGATGATATTAAAGGGTGAACGTAAGTTTTTGTTTAAATTAATTAGAAGTTTTGTAACAATTGAATTTTAATAATAATTAGTTTGTTAATTTAAAAAGTTGTTAATGTGACTTGAAAATGCAAAACACCTTTTCAAAGGTTTTTAAACAGTGTTTTTTGCGAAAAAAAAATTATTCATTTGATTAAAGTAATAAAGTTTGATTACTGTACTTAATGTGACTTGAAAATGCAAAACACCTTTTCAAAGGTTTTTAAACAGTGTTTTTTACGGAAAAAAAAAAGGATTATTCATTTGATTAAAGTTATAAAGTTTGATTACTATACAGGTTTTCAGTTTTGAAGAATTAAATGTATTTGTTTTAAACATATGTTTTTGTATGGTTTCTAAAAAAAAAAAAAATGAATTGTTTGTTATATTTGAGATCATTTTGGAAAATTAACCCAGTTGTTAAGTTGTATGTTATAGAAAGAAGAATGTTATAACTACACCGAAATCTACTATGCTGCATTTGATCATGATCATTTACTGGACTGAATTTCCTTGAAGAGAGAAAACCTTCAAACTTGAGTTTCCCAACAGAAGAACAAGATAACTGAAGTTTTGAAACAGAGAAGATCAGACAAATTGATGCGAAGCACATCTCATTACTTTGCTTTGTGTTATAAAATAAATTGTAGTTGTATTAATAAAAGAAATGTTAAATTCTTTTTGAGCCTGTCACTTTTAAGTTTCAGTTTGACAATTTAAGAGTAACCTTTTTATTACCTTTTGGACCCAATTTTTATAAATTAATTATTCAAAAATTAAGATATTATTTCACAATGAAGTGAGAAAATGAATAAAATTGTAGTTAAAGAATGTAATCAGTAATAACAAGACGGCAGAGACACATAACAGCGGACCCCGACAGGTCCAGGCAGATCACGAAAGATAGGCTGGTGCTGCTACCTGGGGAGATCTTTAGGACTGGAATACCTGTTGGGAAGTGCCACAGCACGCATTTGCTCTTGAGCAAGAAGCAGGACCAGCTGGTGCGTGGGAATGAGTGAAAAGGCTCAGGATATGGGGCAGGGTTATCACATGAACAGATGGGCTGTGCTGGTACTCTGGGCATCTATGAATTCACGTGTGCTTTTGCAAGCTTTAGTCCATACTGACTGTGGGTAAGAAAAGGGACAGGGCTGGCTGTGTTCGTGTTTTACATCAGTCCTGGTAGTAATACATGCAGGTACTGTGGCAGGCTGTGCCCCCCCTGTGGCAGCCTGCACAGCTGGCCTTGTCCATGTCCTTTGCACACTTGTATATACTGCAGGTAAGTATTTGTAAAAATCAGTAAGGACAGTTATTTTTCTGTTTCCACATAATGCTTTGTCTATCTCCTCTCTCCTACGTGCTCTTTGTGTTTTACTTGCCCAACCTATCACACGGCTTCTCCAGCCTTCTATGGATTCCTTTGCACTCTCGGAGACAGTGCCAAGGTCCCGCTGGCGCCGCCGGCGACTCTGCCATTGCCTAGGGCAGCCCTGGGTCGGGAAGCGGCACCCCAGCGGCCGCAGGGGGCCACCCGCGCCCGCAGAGAACGAAGCCCCAGCTGCGCACCACCACGCCAGCCGCCACCTGAGGACAAAGCGCGTTCCGAGTCGGCGGCGCCACCGCCGCCCCTCCCCACGCTTCTACTCGCCAGGGGCCGCCGCCGCCCCGAGCTCCTCCCCGGGGCAGCCCTTCACAGCGTTGTAGAAGCGGGGGAGCGGGCGGGGGCGGCGCCGCAGCGGGCGGAGCGCGGCCGGGGCCGGGGCCTTCTCACACCTGCAGGTGCGCGGGCACCTCTTTGAGCCCGGGCTGCGCCCCTGGCACCCCAGCGCTGCTGCTGCCCCATCTCCCGGTGTCCTGCCGGCGGGAAAGGCCTGCTGCCAGGCAGGCGGCAAAACACGGGCTAATGGATTTTGAGTAGGGTGGTAACTTATTTCCACTGGATTGTAATGCTTTAGGGTAACGCCAAAACTTAAACCAGCTTTTAAACGGATTAATGTTTTGTTGACCATGTTTCACATCTCTCATGATTTCACCGCACAGCTGCCAAGCACCAGGTAGCCACTTGCACACTCCCTGAGCTCAGGGAGGCAATCAGAAGGGTAAAAGCTGAAAAATTTGTCAGTTGAGATAAAGACAGTTAAATAAGGATACCAAAAGCCTTGCACACAACCAAAGCAAAACAAGGAATTATTTCACTGCTTTCCATGGGCACACAGATGTTCAGACGTCTCCAGGAGAGCAGGGCCCTATCATGTGTGGTGGTGATTTGAGCAGACAATCATCATCAATCCTAATGTCTCACCTTTTCTCCTTCTTTCCCCCATGTTATACATTGGGGGTGTCGCATGGTCTGGAAATCCCTTTGGTCACTTTGGGTCACCTGTCCCAGCTGTGTCTCCTTCCAACCTTTCATGCCCCACCAACTTCATCACCAGGGTAGAAGTACAAAAAGTTCTGTGTAAGCCTTGCTCAGCAATAACAAAAATATCTTTGTATTATCAACACTGTGTTCAACACAAATTCAAAGCTCAGCCCCAGACCAGTCACTGTGAAGAAAATTTACTATCTCAGGCAAACAGCATAACAACCTGACCAGATAAAAGGCAGTGTGTACTTCAGCATGACATCTGCTTGCTTCTGCTTCAGTCTTGAAAACAAATACTTATTTTGGCAGGAACACATCCCTGGAGATTGTCTTGTCCAACAAGCTGTGTGTGGTCCAGCATGAATGCCCAACAAAGAGGGGCAGACTGTGCAGGAACAGAACAGGTCCAGCAGAACTTGGAAGGTGATAACATAGTTCAAGTCCAATTACTTCTTTTGGCTGGTTTATTTTAAAATGCAGAACGAATTGTTCTCATACTTTTCATATATAAGTGCTAGATTTTTTAAGCTATGTGTTGGAAGATAGCATGTAAATCATAAATTTACTGACCACATCAAAGGAGTTATTTAAGAGTGGGAAAGAAGACAGGCCTGCCTGTTACCTTCATCTATGGAGCATGATTTGAGTGCCATGTAAAACTTGTAGCACTGAAGAACTATATCCCACTGTGAAGAGAAGTCAAACAAAGTAGTTAGGTCATGCTGCCTCTTTGTTCAGCATTCTCTCAGAGCCACTGCTAGGTTTTGCAACTGTAAAAGCAATTGTTATGGGTTTCTGCATCTAGAGTGTAAGATTTTTACCTCTCTGTGACAGCAATGATCTGTCTCTGTCTTTTCTAGAACATGACGTCAGATAAGGAGTTTGCAGAAAACAGCAATTTTTCGCCAAAAGCCAGCACCAGCAAGCTGCTGACAGATGCGTCTCCCGACTCCAAATGCCCCATCTGCCTGGATAGATTTGACAATGTCGCATATCTAGATCGCTGCTTGCATAGGTTCTGCTTCCGCTGCGTCCAAGAATGGTCAAAAAACAAAGCAGAATGCCCGCTCTGCAAGCAACCCTTTTTTTCCATTTTCCATACGATTCGTGCTGAAGATGACTTCAAGGAGTACATACTCAGCCCTTTGGAAACAAGCTCTTTTGCCAGCCCCGATGGCCGGAGGTTTCGTTACCGCACTACCTTAACGAGGGAACGCCGCACGCGCGGTTCCCCTTCCCTGAGGATGCTGTCCCCTCCGGATAACGGGATGTTGTTTGAAGGGCTGTCGAGCGAGCCAACGCGACACAGACACAGAGAGATTCAGCAGATGATCAGGAGGCTGGCCTCAAGGAGAAAGGCTAGCGCGGAGGGCAGATCTCTGCGGCAGATTCAGGAGGAGGACATGATCACCTTCCTCAGGGCTCTGTACTGCACCGGCGTGCGCATCCGCAGCATTCAGGACGGCGGGCGATACCGAGAGATTTCGGCAGAGTTCTTCCGCCGCAACCCTGCTTGCCTTCACCGCTTGGTTCCTTGGTTGAAGCGAGAACTTACAGTCCTGTTTGGTGCCCACGGGTCTCTGATCAATATTGTGCAGCACATAATCATGAGTAACGTGACTAGATACGATCTGGAAAGTCAGGCTTTTGCTGATGATTTAAAGCCGTTTCTGCTGAATCGGACAGAACACTTCCTGCACGAATTCATCAGTTTTGCTCGCTGTCCTTTTAACTTAGAAGCGTACGATCAACACGCCAATTATGACTGTCCTGCGCCATCATATGAGGAAGGAAGCCACTCAGACTCATCAATTATTACCATATCTCCAGATGTGGTGTACCCGCAAGGGCCAGAGAGTAGTTTGTCTATTCCTGGTCTTGGTCAGGCCCCGTGGGATGATGAAACTCCAGGGCCTTCCTATTCCATTTCAGAGGAGGTTCGTGCAACCATAGCTTCTCCTCTGGAGTCATCGGAAAGTTCTGATGAGGACTCTGCCTCAGGGAGCCGAAGAGCCAAGCTGCAGACGGAGTTACAGGCTAATGCAGACTCAAACGACAGCGGCTCTTCCTCAGACAATTGCGTCATTGTCGGGTATGTTAAGCCCTTAGCTGAGAGGACACCAGAAGTGGTTGAGCTGTCCTCTGACTCTGAGGAGTCCATCAAGGAAGAGAAAAGGGAAGATGTCAAGAAACAGCGACCAGTCCAGTGTCACAGCTGGAGTGACAGTGAACCAAGCAGGAGCTTCTCACCACATTCCCCAACATATAGGGAGGATGTAGGAAGTTGTAGAAGCTGCTTATCTCCTGCAGTCGAGAAGATGGAATCAAAAGAGGATGAGAAGAACAAATGTAAAAGAAAAGATCTGCCTCCACAGGACTTGAGTTGGAGCCCCTCTCCAGGGAGTGACGCAGTTTGCTCCCCTTGGAATCAGAGATTGTCTAAAAAGGGGAAGTCTAGAAGCCCACAGTCTTGTTCACGGGACAGTCGAGGCAGTCATGGCCATCGGTCTAGAAGGGAGCACCATAGCAAAAACCAACTTAAACGGAAACGATCGAAAAGCAGAGATAGTAGCAAACATAGGAGCAGAAGAAGCAACACAAGATCAAGGGCTCATGACACCAGGTCCTCTCTGAAGAGCCAGAGTGGTGAGAGCACTCCATCCAGAGAAGTGAGCAGATCACGTTCACGCAGCAAAGGCCGCAGTAAAAGGAGATCAAGAAGTAGAGACAGTGATCGCTATTATGTAAGAGACAGTTATCAAAGTAGACACCAGTGGGGTTCTGCTTTCTGTAGTCGAAAGGTATTTGGAGACAGCTATGAATCCTCCAGTAGAAGGAGGACCCGGTCTAACACTCTTTATTCACGGCAATCTGCTAGTCCAGAATACAGGATACGATCATTTATTGAGAGGACAGATCTGCATAGCCAGAGGGGACTCCATGAGAGACACTTTTACTGTTATGAAAGATGCAGATCAAGGAGTCGGTCAAGCAACAGATCAAGGACTCCTCCTGGAGGAGCTGACAGAATGAAAAGTGAGAAGCCTGGTGGAAAAAGGAAGTACAAAACTCGCCACCTGGAGAATGCATTCATGGAAAGCACAAGTCTAGAAAGAGAAAATGAGTCTAAGAAAACTTCGTCAAAATTTGGTGACTGCTGCAAAAATGAAGATAGCCTGTCAGACAATCGTGCAAGCAGTGAGACAAAGCGTAAGAAAAGGAAGAAGAAAATGAGGAGTCCAAGTGTGGAGATAGTCTATGAAGGAAAAGCAACAGACACAACGAGGCATCTTAAAAAGAAAAAGAAAAAGCATAAGAAGAAACACCGGAAACATCACACGAGTAACTCAGTACCTTCTTCTCCAGTGGTGATTACAATTGATAGTGATAGTAGCAAGGAACCAGAAGGTACCGAATGGGACAGCAGTATTACGTGGACAGGCACAACTCAAATAAATGAGAGGGAAAATGAGTCTCCATCTCCTGTGTTGATGAGGAGAGTATGTGAGGAAACTGGAGGAGTAGACAAAAAGTATGGTAACCCTGCCACAAGGGAAAACTTAGATGATGGAGATAGAAATGCTGATGTGAAACTTCAAGAAACAGCAGCTGATCAGAGTGTTACCACAGTGAATGCCAGCAGTAACACCCTTCACACAGAAACTGTAACCAGTTATGTTCAGGAAGCACCAGCAGCGCCTTCCAGTCAACCGCCTTCCCCCAGGACTTCCTTCCTAGAGTGTCCAGAGGGAGAGCCATTGATACTGAGACTGCCAAAGAGACTTGTCAGCAGATCCTCGTGGTTTGATTTCCCAGAAGAAAAAATGTAGTAGGCTTTCCTTGGAACACTTGTTCAAACTGTGAATTTAACAACTTTCTTTTTCCCCTTGAAAACTAAAATGTCTGATAGGGTTTCTGTCCGTTAAAAAGATGTCTAGGAAATGTATAAAACTTTTGAATGTGTATGCACTTTCAAGTCAAAGAAGATAGAATATTGCTAGTCTGTAATTCTAAAAGTTTGTTAGAGGACTGTTTGGGCGTTTTAATTTCATAAAGCCATCCACAGAGTATTTCAAAGTTTTGTGTAAATCAAACGACAGAAAAGGAGCACAAAACAAGAGCCTGGAAATGCATTTTATGGGGATTACTTCTTAGACCAGGAAAATGTTGTTTAGTTCATAAAAAGTGATTCAGTCTGAATTCCAGCTTCATTTCAATCTCTGGTTTAAGCTGATGTCTGCTGAAAAGCAGTCAGTGATTTCTACAGAAATTCTCACATGACTTTGAGTAATTTTAAGGTAAGCTTGTCAAAATCTGAATAAAGCAATAAGGTTTTTTTTGTTGTTATTAAATACATTTGCATATATACTGTGTGTTTTGCAAATGGAGTTTTTCCTTTTGTTTTTGAGTGTTTCATGTATTCAGACCATTGGATATTTTTGCAGTCAAGACTACTTCAGGTTGGAAGGGTTGTCTGGCGTTCAGCTGGTACAAGCCTTCACTGAAAGCAGGAACTTTGATAAGATTGCCTGGGATTGGTTCAGTTTTGAGTTTTCCCAAAAGCTGGATGGCCGCTCTGTCCTGCCTTAACATAGGAGTATTCCCTTGGGAAACATTTTTTTTTTCAGATTTCTTTTTTTTCATTTCCCTTACTGGAGCCTGTGCATTCTGCTTTGCGTTCTATAACTGTGCAGCTTTCAAGAAGTCTTTTCCTCTTCTTTATGTCCTGTGGCTGCATACTTGAAAAACATCTGTCTTGTCTAGCCTTGGCAATAAAACTCTTCCTCCTGACTTCCTTGAAATAACCAATATTCACCCAGCTCAGCATATCCTAGATGTCCTGCTGCAGGTATGTGCAATACACAGGGCTCTGGCAGGGTTTTGTTTTCCTGGTTTGGTTGTTCTCTGTGTGCACAGCAGAAGCTCTGAGGGCTGAATGAGGAGGATACCTTCTCTGTCTCTCCTGCATTATCTCCATGAGTTTTGTATGTTTGACCTTGGCTGGTTGCTTGCCAGGTAGTGAAGTTTACTGTCTCCCCAGGATGGGGGAGAAGGTAAGATGGGAAAGCTGGGTTGAGGCAAGAACAAGGTAGAGTACTGTCACTAGCCAGATAGAGTTGGATACAATTAATATATTCTGTTGCCAATGAAAAATTGAGTGGAGGGATAAGAAACAAAGGCAAAACAAACAAATTTCCCTTTCCTTCTCAACTTCACTCTTTCATATAGACGACTCTACCTCCTCCTCCCCAGCTGTGCAGAAGGATGGGGAATGGGTATTGTGTTCAGTCCATCACATTCTTGCTGCTTCTTACTCCTTACACTGTTCCTCTGCTCTAACATGGGCCCTTTCTACAGGTGTGCAGTGCTTCTGAAACAGATTGCTCCAGCTGCCAGGAAACCTGTTCCTGTATGTGCTCCTAAGCACAGGCTTCAGCTCCTGACAGGAGCCTGTTCCTGTGTGAGATCTCCATGGGCTGCAGCTTCCATCAGGGCATCTCCACCTGCTCCACAGTGGGGGTTTTCCACAGCCTGCAGGTGGGTCTGTGCTCCACTGTGGTTATCCAGGGGCTGAAGGGGGCAGCTTGTCTCACCATGGTCTTCATCACCTGGAAGTGCCCAGGCTGTGGAGAAGGGCTGCTCCTCCCAACCAGCCGGCACAGGTTGGCTGAGCCTGAGAGGCAATCAGAAGTCCCCTCCACAGTCAGTCACCTCCACTCTTGCCCCTGAGAGTATCTCTGGGCTGCAGGGGTCAGGTTGGTCCCTACCATGGGATTAGGTTTCAGGGAGCACAAATGTCTGAAGGAGTCAGGGCACTGGGAGGCCCAGGGGCCACATAATGTGAACTGTCATGAGCTTGCTGTGCTCCGTTCTTGTTATTGGCTGCTAAGAGCTCTCTGGCATCTCCTGGGAATGAATGTGGTGGCTCCCTTTGTTCTGTTTAGCCCTGACAGCCTCTCCAAATTCGCCGAGGGCAGTAGCTCAGGGTCTCAGGTGTCCCTGGCAGATGGCTCAGGGATTTTTGCTGCAAGTGCCCTTTACTGGAACCCTTGGTCCATTCTGGGATCCCATCCCGAGCTGGGATATCCTTGGCATAAGTGGGACTTCTACACCCAGAGTGCTGGGATGGAGGGTGCAGGATATTGAGGAGAGGGCAGGGCAAGGGGAGCTATTGCAGTAAATAGAAGGGAGAAGTTTGATACAGCCCTTACAGTTGGTGATGATGTGGTTTGGAGTCTCTGGGTGAAGATGAAGGGATGGAAGAAAAAGCAGATGTCTTCTATCAGTTGCCCAGCCAGGATTCCAGTCCCAGAGAAGTTATTTTAATAGGCAATTAGGAGAAATCTCTGGATCAGCAGCCTTTGTCCTTGTGGCAGATTTCAACTTTCTAGAGACCAGCTGGAAATGCCTCCTGCTGTGGTGAGCAGATTTGAAAAATTCCTACAGTTTGTGGGAGAGAACTTTGTATTACAAGTACCCAGAGAGGCAACTAGGAAAGATGCCCTGGACTTGCTGGTTTGGAATGGAGAAGGCCTGGTGGGAGATGGCATGGTCTTGGCCACAGTGATCAGGAAATGGTTCAGCTTAAAAATGTCAGCACAATGAGGAGAAGAGAACTGCAAAGTTGCTTCTCTATTTTGAGAGAGCAAACATTGCACTACCCAGGAGTCCCTTGGGAATCTGCTCTTGAGGCCTCAGGAGCTGCATGCTGCATGGGATCTGCTGCAAACACTGGAAATTAGCAAGCTGTCAGAAAATATTCTCAATACTTAAAGACATTTACATTGCATTACATTACAAATATGGGAAACCTCATTTGGTTGTTTTTCATGACACTCATTACTAGGAAATTTTCATTAAAGCGTGAAGGGTGTCTAGGGCAGTGAGCACAACTGCGGAAAATAAGTGTGCTACAGGCAGCCATTGCTTCCCAGTACTGCTTTGTGTAAACCAGCTCATCACTCCCACTGCACCTACCTGCATAGTGTGAGTAAGCAGTGTGGCTTGGTGTCAGCTGCTACTAAGAATTGTACGTGCATAGCGAAAGCATAGGGGCTTAGCCCCAGCTGGCAACTAACTACCGTGTAGCTGCTTACTCAACAACACCCTACCCCAGTGGGATGGGGAGGAGAACTGGGGGGGAAAAAGAAAAGTGAAACTTTTTGGTTAACAGTTTAATAATTGAACTGGAGTAAAATATAATAGTAGTATTAGTAATAGCAATAAAAGAGAGAGAGAGAGAGAACCAAAGAAAAGTAAGTAATGTACAATACAATTGCTCACCACCTGCTGGCCAATGCCAAACCCAGATAGGCCCTCTTCTGCGTGACTCCTCCAGTTTATATACTGAGTGTGACGTTCTATTTTGTGGAACATCCATTTGACCAGTTCAGGTCCCCTGTTTTGGCTGTGCTCCTCTCCACATTTTTGTGCGCTTCCTCACTGACAGAGCATGAGCCACTGAAGAGTCCCTGGCTCAGAGTAAGCACTCTTAGCAGCAACCAAACCATTGGTATGCTATCAGCATCATTCACATACTGAAACACTGCTGTACCTGCTTCTAAAAAATATCTACTCAAATTCCAGCCAAAACCAGGACAAGGACTGAGCTGCATTAATCAGCTCAAGGTAGGAAATGAGATTTATCAATCCTCTTCTGGAGTTCCCTGGCATAATTTTGTAGGCTTAGACAAGACCTCAGCCATCAGTTGTGTTGGATTTAGCAACGCACATAACCTTATCCAGGGCTATTTGACTTTCCCTGGATATTCTGCCTATTTTCCATGTGCCTTTTGAGAAGAAGATGTTTTACCTACCAGACCTGGTATGTAAGGCCCTGGACACTCTTGATGTGTTTCTTTCAGGTTAAGGTTTTTTATTCCCTGAGACCAACATGTGGGAGAAACACAGTGTTCTCAGGAGGTTAAACAAAGGTTTACAGGCAGACTTTAGAAAATAAAGGTACCTGGCAAATTTTAAAACAATAGACATAAAGCATTTCACAAGGCATTGACTTACCAAACTCTAACCCATCCATCTTTAAGTTACCCAGATTTCAAAAAGTTAGAGATAGGGTGTTTGTACAACTGCTTTTATCTGCTTTGGCCTCCTGGAACCCTCCCCTCCACATGGGGCTTCTGCTATGCCAATGGCTGATAACCATTCTGGAGCTGGACTGGAGGCTCCAGGGAGGTGGGATATGGAGAAGTGCATCATCCCACTTTCTTCAGAGCTTGCCTTGCCACCCTGCCACCCTGCCACACACTTTGGTTGTTTTGAGCAAGTAATGATTTCTCCAGTCTCTCACTCTGAGGTAACTTGAATCCTGAGACATGAGAGCAGAGTTAAAATAAACCCAGCAGAGTTATCTTGCTGTACATGCATGCAGAACATACTCGTGTAGGCCTGGGATCTTGTTTACAGTTCATCCTGTCAGAAATACATAATAACCCAGGGTGCTCTGCATGGGCCTACTCCTTTGGTACCCACCTGCTGTGCTTCAAATGAGATTCTAAGGTTCATCACATTGAAGGGAAACTGCAGGGATGAAGCATGTTTCTGTCTCCAAACTGGACCAGAATCCAAAAGGTGGCTGCAGAAAATGCTGCTGCTGCTGTCATGCATATCTCTTGAACATTTTAGTGGTAGATGAATCATCAGCAGTGCCACAGATGCGCAGTGACTCAATTTTAAGAAGTTTCAAGTGTCAGTTTCCAGTAAGCTGGAACTATCTGCAGTTCAACAGATAGTTGTTTTATATTTCTATAAATATAAAATTTGTATTTATATTTCATGGCCTTTGGCATGGAGTGACAGAAGACCTGTGAACATCCCAAGCCTAGCTAGGCAACCTGCTCATCTAAGTATGTTGTCAGTGGTCTCCAAAACAGGAACTAAATTAACTGAAGCAAGCCTTTTGTTATTAGCAAGGGCTGAGGAAAAGTCCCATCAGGATATTTTGGAATGCTGAGTCCTGAAGAATTTTTTGCTCAAGGTTTGTAATAACCAACTACACATCCAAGTTGGTCTTTAGTCCTGATGGATAACATATGAAACAGTGTGTGTGGCAAAAATACCATTTATCTTTTGAAAACCTGTAGCCATTAGAGATCAGATATCCATCCAGTGTGTTATGTGCAGAACAAGTCACAGCCAAGTGACAAGCTGCTGTCCAAGGCACTGAGATGAACATCAAGTGCATAGGGGAAAAGACATGCAGAGCATAACTTTTTTTTAAAGATCATTCACCTCGTGTGTGTAGCTGGGATGGTAAATTTAATCCTCCGCAAATTACATGAGCCAGGTCACACAGCTCCTCCAAAACAGAGTGCCTTGAAGTCATAGCAGTTTCTTGTCTGTGAGCTGAAGAGTCAAAAATGAATGTACATACATGCACACGTATGTGTATGCTCACCTGCATGCATTATGTTTATGGGAAGAGAGGGAGTGAGACTAGGGGGTAGAGCACGAGTAAGCTGATAGATGCCTCTTGCACCCTTGGAGAGGAGAATAGCAAAAGCAAATACTGTGCATCTCCTGCATGCATTCCTATTTAATTTGGATATACAAAAGAAGGAAAAAGCCCCAAACAACAAACCACTGGATGGATTGGTGTTTTGTAAGATTTATGAACTACTAAATTTAGAAAAGTCATTTTACTCTTGGTGGTGTATTGCAGGCTCTTGTGCAAGAGTCAATAAGAAAAAAAAAAAAGTAAGTTACTTTCTCTGTGAGAGCATGTACAAGCAGCATAAAATAGGTTCAATTAATCTTTTCAGCTACTGAATTTATTCTGGATAGACAAAGCATATATCAGATTATATGTCCTAGAAAGGTAATCAGCCTTATAAAATGCTTCACAGTTCTGCTTTTCTCATTATTGTATTTCAGATAGTTTTCTGAATGGGAAAACTGTTCAAGCAAAATGTTAAATAGCATTCATTTGTCATTTTCTTGCACAGACCAGGCAACATCCTGCAGAATTTTGAGATACATGGTCATTAGGAAGCTTGTATTGAACTGTTAATCTTTTTTTGCTCTTTTTCTCATGTAGTCTTCCTTTGTAATGTTTAATTTCCCGAACTCCTGCTTCAATTGCTACAGGTAAAACTCTGCAGGAATCATACAGATGATTAAACACAGAGGACCATCACAAGATAGTGATTGAGCTCTGTTCGGGTAACCTGCAGAGGCAATCTCTACTGCTTTACCTCTAGCTATAGATGTTTCTTCATGGCAACCACCTATGCTCCAAACCACATCACCAGGATCATTGCAGAAGAAACCGTAATTTTAGGCTGAGGCATTAGTGAGTGGAAACAGATTTTATCATTTCCTTTATATTGTTCATTTTTTTTCAAGAAGGAAAAAGGAAATGTCTACATTTTCCATGGCAAGTTGATGCAGAGATAACTCAGTAGGACTCTTTGACTTTTGCTATTAATTAGGTCATAGTAAACAATTGGCTTAAATAGTCCCAGGTTAAAAAAAAAAAAGGAAAAAATAAAATGTGAACTAAAGAGTTCAGCTATGAAACAGAACTTCATGTTGTTTAAGGCACAGCCTTTTGCGCAGGAATCTCAGTTTCAGAGGGAGATTTGTTACACTATCGTCATTACATACTAGATGCCGTTGCCCACTTTAAAATTAATGCAAGAATTTCAGCGTTCCAAAGTATGATTAAATACCACCAATTTCTTTTATTTTATTCCAAATTTTATATTCCTTTATGTGAGGTATGCTATTTACTGCCAGATTTACACGGCCAGGTTAGAGTGATCATCCTTGGTAATATTAATAATCCTTGTTTTAACATGTCAGAATTGTCAGAAGTTAATTGCACTATTGCTGTCTTTTTGCAGAGACCTATTGATTGCTACAGGGCAGTGATGGAAGACAGTGAACAGTCAAAAAACAGTCTTGTGCAGGAAACAACCAGGACCACAATGAAGATTGTGACCACAGAACAAGTTGCTGTCACAGAATACCCCTACCATATCCCACAGGTCAAACAGGTGAATAATGATCTCATCTTCTACACAGCACTGAGCAGATGTGCTGAAATAGTATGCAGCATATTATCTGTGTTGTAACTACAGCTGCCAGAGATAGTTTCTTATAAGAATGCCTTGTTGTCACCAATTAGAGAGCATAATGATCAGTTCCAGTTCCATCATAACTGAAGCTCCAAAAAAAAAATATTTTATCAATGGTTATCTGCATCTCTACAAAATGGCTAAGAGCCATAGAGCGGGCATTTTTGCTCTGCTCTTTCTTCTCCTCTTTATTAATCCTTTCCTCCTTTTAGCATGTTTTCCATTTGTTTTGCAGGTTCCCCAAATATCTCAGATATTTGATCAGATAGGGCAATATGGGCAGAGTATGAATCTTGTGAAGTTAATGTCAGGGCCCTTAGGACATTGCAATCCAGCCTTCTCCCCTGTTCTTGTCTGTCTACACTGATGTCCAGCTCTGACATGGTGCAGCCATTAGCCTGGGGTTGTGGTGTTGGGGTGCCAGGAGCTCCCCATCACTTGGGGGCTGTGCATCAGCTCAGCACCACTAGTTTGTTCTTGTGCCCAGACTCCCAGCTCCTCAGCCAAGCAGCCAGCTCTTGGCACTTGCCAGTATTTGGTGGAGGTGGAAACTGGTTCATCTTCCAGTTACCTTAGCTTTTTGCTGCATGCCTTGAATCTGGTTGCATGCTGCTCTGCTTTCAGGTCCTGAAATATTACATTGCCAGTACCACTTAACAGTGATCTAACAGGAGAATCTAGAAAATTGTCAGAAGAACAGCTTTGTGTCAGCCCTGCCATGGTTTCATGTTGACTAAAAAGGGCAGGGAAGTAAATGTCTCTGCAATGGTGAAGTTTCCTGCACAGTTTTCCTTCCCTGTTTTTCCATGGTCTTTCTTACATTAACTTAAATTTGTCCGTGCTATGGCTTATTCACTTCTGAATGTACTTTTGCTCCATCTTCTCCGGCAGTTTGTTTTCCTTTTATTTATATTTAAGTACACAGATGTATAAGAAGTCCAGCTTAATTGCTCTGTAACTGTCAAGTTCTCTATGTGCTTAAAAGGAGGGAGAGGAACTTGTTATATGGGCAGATAGTAACAGGACAAGGGGCAATGGTTTTAACTGAGAGAGGGCTGCTTAATTTAGATATTAGGAAGAAATTCTTTACTCAGAGGATGGTGAGGCACTGTAACAGGTTGCCCAAAGAATCTGTGGATACAGCATCCCGGAAAGTGGTTAAGGCCAGGTTAGATGGGGCCCTGAACAACCTGATCTAGTGAATGCCGTCTCTGCCCATGTCAGGGGCATTGGAAGCAGATGATCTTCAAGCACAAACCATTCTATGAAACTGAAGGTGCAGAGTGAAGTTGAGAATAAGCAGAGTAAAAATTAACCAAACTGGTTATATTTTCTTTTTCATAATAGAATCCAAAGTGATATCTTTTGAGATTAAACTTTGCTAATATCTGTGGGCATTTGCTTTGCACAAGCTGTTTTTTGTAAGGGACTAAAAAAATAGAATTTCCAGTCTTTTTTCTAAAGACATCTTTATTTATAATCCAAATTGGATCTCTGATTAATAGAATTTCTCAAGAAATATGCTATTTTCATGCATCTATATACACTGGAAATATTGTAGAGCTGAAGAAATTAGCTTTTTTTCAGGAGAAGAGAGACAAATCAGGATAGAGTAAGTAATTTTTCAGCCATTTGTCTTCTGAAAACACAGTACTAGCATGCATGCCTTGAGTTGAACCCCACAGCTTCATACCTTCTAGAGATGAAAATAAGAAAGCATGGACAAAATTTGCCCAATGTCTTCTATCTGATTCTGACTCTATACATTACTATTGTTATGTTTGCCCAATTATCCAATCACAAATAAAAGGACAAACAAAATTAAATATAACAATAATTTTAATAAAATTTAAATGAAATAGTTACATTCAATAAATTGGCAGTATAATTTGGTTATAATAAAATATATTTTGGTTCGGGTAATGACGTATAAGCAAAATTACCGCGGGGTACGGAGTGCGAGGGCCTTGGGACCCCTGCCACCTCACGTACAAGCTTGCCAAGCCCAAAATTCCCCCCTTTATACTGTCTAATATCAGCATCCCCTCCTATTTTCGATTCATCACACTGGTGTCTCCACCCTTATCTTCATCTTCACCGCGCATGCGCCACCATCTTTTTTGGGGGTCGCACCACTTTTTGGGGGTCGTCCAGATGAAGGCCGCTCCTCTTCCTCAGGTGTCCTTTATTTCACTTTTGGGTTACACATGCGCACCAAGCTAATATCATATATGCCAAACCAAAGTTATATAAGCCAATATAATAAATCTTGTAAATTAACATATTTCTGATTTCTACCCAAGTTTTCCCTCTTTCAGTTAATTTTAGCAAGCTTTATCTGACTCCTTTTCCTGCCTTGAACATCTGCAAAAGATAATGGGGGGGGCGGACCTTTCCCCTCTGCTTTCCTAGCTTTTTACCATTTAACCATTTTGTTTTCTCCAAATATTGATTACTATATCCACATTAATTACTGTTTCAATTTTATCAGCACGAATCACACCTATTTATCACACTATGTGTATAAACTACGTTTAGGTTTCTTCTGAAGACCTGGTGAAGTGGAAATTCCTTTGGCAGCCTTGCAGCTTTTATGGCTCCAGAGTAAGTCTCCAGTGGAAAATGTAGCATATGGAACAGAATCAGAAAACTTCATAATGATAACAGGACATTTGAGCAGCAGTATAACTTTTGAGCTGAATCTCATAATTTTTTTTTTTTTGTGAAACAACTGCTTCTGTGAATTTTTAGTGAATGGTATATAAGTGAGCATTTGCATGTACAAAGTTTTATCAGACACAGTGAGATAGACTTAAAGACTTTCTGATGGAGTCTATCAGATTTACTAGTGAATTATTTTATTTCTACTGACTTTGTGAACTATCTTGTAGAATGGTGTTTTTATTGATACAGAGTTTGTGAGTGGCTTAATACATGGGAATAAAAATGAAAAACATTCTAAATGTCTTTCAGGTATTTCTTTTAAAGTCAAAGGCAGTGTTTTCCTAAGACATGAGTTAGAGTGGAGGCAATTCTAGATAAGCCACTCCTTCTGAATTAAAACATCTTAGAGGAATGTTAGGAATATTTATTTCATTTTAGTACATTTTAGAGATCTCAAAAAATGCCTTATTTTTCTAATTTTCCTGTTCTGGGCACTTGACTCCAGATCCCCTGTCATGTTAGTGAGAAAAACTCAAAAGTTTAATGGCAGCTGTTGCTGTGACCTAAGAAGGGCTTTGTGCAAGATGGAAGTACTGAGGGTGCTGTCTCCCTTCCTGGGGCATGGGTATAAGAGCCAGTGGTACCCTGTGCACCATTAGAAGTACCAACACAACAGAAGAGCACCCAACCACTTGTGGTGTTCTCTACTGAGTGTGGAAAGTACATTAGTAAGACAGTTATTTTCCCTTTCACTTTGTCCGCCTAAGCTAGGCTTTTGCCTGGCTTTGGGGTCCAGAAAACAAAACAAAAAAAAAACCCAAACAATAAAACCCCATCATGCAGAGAACCCTGAACCCTTCAGTTGCATCTTTCATAGCATTTCATGCCTTCTTGCTGTTGTATTTATTTTAAGTTTAAGCTTAGAATAGGATACTTGAAAGGCATTTTCTTGAATTGTGGAATTTCACAGCATTTTTGGAAGTAATTTTCTTTTCTTGAAGTACCTTGTGTGAAGTTTGCACAGCACAAGATAAAAATGTCTCCTCTATCCTCATACTTCCTGCTACTGGATGAAAACAGATATGATTGCTTAACTATCTTTACATGCAGCTTTTATTTCTATCTCCAGTTCTTAAGTCTTCTCATGGTCCCTGGTTGCAGCATAGCCTCTGCATGACTAATTGATCCATCTTCATCAGGTTGCCATCTTATTAAATGATTGTCACAATGTATAAATACAATGTTTACTGGACAATGGCATTTTAAGAGGTATTGTGCACTTGCAATTTATAATAATGGCTTTTTGTTATGAACTGCACCAATCTTTAATCTATTTGGCTGCTTTTTTCAGGAAAACAAAAACCAGATCTGTGAGTTTTGCCTCCAGTACTGTTTTGATCTCCTTGCTTCAGTCTCTGGTTATTATTGGGGTGTGGCTAGTGAATTCTGGAAAATTTGTTGTCTGGGATATTGTTAATGTCTTTCAAATACACTTTGTATGCTTTTGACTGTACTGGTTTGCACATTTCCAGACCTTTTTAGAGGTATTTTGAGTTTTGGCTAAGGTCTTCATGGTTATGGACTAATTTCTTTGGCTTTTGATGGTGCTGAAGTCATGAGCAGAGCCAGCAAGGGGCTGTCTGACAGTTTTGTTTCCAGAAACTTCTTACTAGCAATTCTGTTTCCCAGCAAGAAGTTTCCAGGTTCATGGTTTCCATACATTTGAGCAAAATATGATTTTTTGCAGGGTCTATGTCTGTCTGAGCGCTTCAGCTGTGCAGTGATACCCAGTGATACCTAAAGTGCCTCTTCTTGCCAAAGGACAATGTATTTTATAGTGTGGGGTTTTTTTTTTTTTTGGTTTTTTTTTTTTTTTTTTTTTTTTTTTTTTTTTTTTTTTTTTTCCAGCCTATCCACGCTTCCTCTGGGTGTGGCTGGACTGTGCAGCTGTGACTCGTGCTGTGACATGCTGCGACTCTTGGGGGGTCCTGTGCAGGGTCAGAAGTTGGACTTGATGATCCTGGTGTATCCCTTCTAATTCCTGGTATTGTATGACTCTATGACGCCAAAGTCACACTTCACAGCACAGGAAATGAGAACAGTGATCTGATTTCTTGGCCAAGCCCTGACAGACTGCCTTCAGAAGTAGAAGATGGGAAACTGATTTTTGACAGTGACTCAGTGTCATCATCTTCAGCCCAGCCCCAACTCAAACTATCAAACAACCTGTACTGAATCAGGTAGAAATCTGCGCCCCAGGTTTCCTGCATGCAAGCAAGTAAGTTCATGTCTCCTCTACAGCCTTGTGTGGGTGATAAAGCTATGGTTTGTCTCTTCCCCAAGACTGCAACACTACTTACATTGCAGCTTTAAGGAGCTTTTAATTATTTTGAAAATGGTCTTTCTAGTTCTGATAACTCTTAAAAATGTAGCCAAGCAAGAGTATCAACTATTAAAACAAAAGTCAGTCAGCCAGCCTTTGCTGCTCAGCTTTTGCTACCAATCTGTTACGCCTGTCACAACAAGTTGACAGATTGTCACAATAAATGGCACAAGTTTAGGATGTTGTTTTGTTTAGCCTTTGTATGAAGTGCTTTGAAACACATTTAATAGTGGAGTATAATTAAAGTATAGCAAATGAATTCTGAAAGAGGGGAATAAGGTATACAGTAGTTAAAAATTGTTAGAATAATATTTTCTATTGTATTTTGTTTACTTGGGGGGACTGCAAATTACTGCAAGTCGTTGTGAATACTAAGGAAGTAAATATTGATAAGGAACTTATTGCCTGAAAGCAAACTAGGAATGTGAATATTTCATTTACTTACTCAAATTACTTAATTGGTAATTACTACTCCTAAGCAAGATAGCGCAGCCTGCCAAATATTCACCCCATAAGGGGAAGAAAACCTGGTGTCTCTTCCAAGAAATGAAAATGCCCAGCCTTTGGTATATTTTTTATTAGGTATTCGTGTTCTGTCTGATTTTCCACAGAGATCTGATATTTTTCTTTTCCTTCTTTTTTTACATCCTGGAGAAGTCTCTGGGCAGAGATTGATTTTGGTATCAGTTCTCACTCCTCACTCCTCCTGTGTCATCATCCTCAGTGATTACACTGATGCATCAATGGCCCTTTAAAAGTTCTGCTACCATGTCTGCAGCCATGAGTGGACTCCAACCGACTCTACTGCCATCCTTTACTAATTTTGACTAATTTGGCATTGTTAAAACCAGTCCTTTTTGAAACCATTCTGTTCTAAACTCACCTTCATATATGTCCTGAACAAGAGTGTTTGAGATTGCTCAAAAAATCACCTGCAAGTGTACGAGCAAAAGTCTGATTTAATATTAAACTACAAAGCACAACAAATTCATTGTCAAGATTCACTCTACTTACAAAGGACAACTGAGGCACAACAAGGGGGGAAGCAAGCAACAACAAAACCAAACAAAATCCAGGCTATTAAAACAGAAATTAATTGAAAATACCTAAGTCTATGTGTCTGTCTGTCTGTAAAGACAATGTAAACAAGAATGAAAAAGAATGCAGCCTAAAGCTTTACAACACTTAAACTTAACAGTACTTTAACCTAACTTATGCCTTTATTTATAGCTTAACTTTAACAATCTAACAGAGAAGTAACACTTAACAGCATTTATCCTAAATTATAACTATAACTTAACCTAACTTCCAGACATATGTGCAAAGAGTATGTGTACAGACCTAGTGCAAGATAATGTACTTGTGGAAAAATTCCCCTCAGAGGTCAGTGAATATACTCACTTCAGATGCTTTTGCATCTCCAGATGGGAGTGAACTTCAGTCATTACAGTGTTTCATCCTGGCCATGGTTTGGTTTGGCACTTTCTTTGAAAGTGTGAGAACAGGAATGTTGTGCCATTCAGGCCAGATAAATATTTTCCAAGGCTGGTCATAGGAAAAACAGAGGCTTATGAGGAGTTTCTGAGAAGAGACAGTGTTTTTTGATAAGCTCAGAAAGACCTGAGCCCAGGTCTTCATGGTATTTTCAAGGACGAGGCCTAACAAGCATTTTGTTAAACACTGCAGCCTGGAAAGCTGCTAAGGGGGAATGCACCACCACAATATCTCAAGCCATCACTGTCAGCAGCATAGGCCATTGTCATTCAGACCCATGACCTTGTTCAGCCTTGATCCCTCCTCGTCTTGAATCATAGCTACCTCTTGTTCTAGTCAAATGCTTTCAGAAGGACTATTCTTTACCTTACTGTACACGGAGGACTTTCCATCCATGCCCTTGTGTTTCTTTGTCTTGGCTTTCTGCACAAGCACATTTTTCTTTCTCACAGGAGGTGAATGCC